TGTTTCTCCAAAAGAAGTAAGATCAACAAAATATAGTAAAACATGCATACCAAAGTTTATAGTAGGACAATTCACAATAGCAAAGTTATGAAACCAACCTAGGTGCTCATTGACAGATGCATGGATAAAGACAATGTGATATCTCTCTCTATATATATCTATATCTATATCTATATCTATATCTATATCTATCTCAAGGAGATTTACTGAGCCATATAGAATAATGACATAATGTTAATTGCTGGTAAATTGATGGAACTTGAGAACTGGATGCTAATTTTAATGAGCCAGACTGGGAAAGACAAAAGTCAAATATTTTATTTCATAAGAAGAAGCTAAAGAGAAACAAATAATAAAAACAGGGGGATTTCATGAAAATATAAAAGAGAACAGGGGAGTAGAAGAAGAGAATAGAAAGGAAAATATGAGGGGTGGGGAAGGGAAGCATCTGCAGAGTGCAATTGACCTAATTGCCCTATGTGCACAGATGAATATATCATGATGAATGCCACTTTTATGTATGACTATAATGCACCAATTTAAAAAAAGTAATAAGTGAATAGAATAAACACCAATAGAGTAGAGAAAAAGTTTAATGGAGAATGAGAATATGAGGGAAAGGAGAAATACTATGGATTAAAATTGAAGAAAATATGTCTAAGTGAACCCCACTATTACAAATGACTATAATGTAATGATAAAAATATTTAAAATATAGTACATAATCCTGATGAAAATTTACCCTAAAGTACTATAGAACAGTAGATCTAATTTATCTTGCCTGAATGTAACATAGTACAGGTTCACCAACTTTCTCCATAAATATTTTGAAGAGACAAAAAAAAGTCACTAATAATAGAGGTAATTTGAAAAATATTAACCATCAAAATATTCACAGGACTTTACTATTGAATGCCATAGGAACCTGGCATATCAGAGCAATGATAATAAGTGGTCTTTAGATTTTTAGGGTTAGGGACCACTCATTTTCCATTGCATCTCATGTGGATATTTTGTCCTTTATGTCATTGCTATTGTACAAGGAAACAACATATTGACTTTTCTTCAACACTATGCTCTGGGAATTCCTATGTATTTTGATCGATTTGTTTAGCTCCATTAGTTATTAATCATGTTTTATGCCATGGTCATTTGGGGTCCTTTATAGGAACTCATGCTTATTATTTCTATGTCATGGATTATGGGGTGAAAAAAAATCCACAACCACTTGAAGTGAAACAGTGGCTCCTTCAGCATGGGTACCCTGAATATGTTCATAGTGACAATATGACATGGTAAAATAAAACAGGCATAAAAATCAGAAGTTACTTCTTTCAGGAAGAGCCAGGGCACCTGGAATGTTCCCAGGAAACTTTACACAATGATCTCAGGCAACAATGACCCAGGATGCTGGTTTCAGGAGTTCATCTAAAGGTTTCTAAGCAGGTCAACAACACACTACTCTTATTAATATCTAAAATAACAGGCACTATAATTTAAATTAACTCCTCAAATAGCATATCTTATAATGTCAGAAACACACACACAATCCCTATTCTCAGTTTCCAAACCATCTTTTGCTACAAACACACATTCCTTCTACCCATGCTGAGAGGCCATCTTTCAGGTCATTCCACCTTTGAACTGGCCATCAATCACCTCTCTTTATGCTAATGAACATGTTTGTCATGTGGATGTAGTGTGAACAATAACATTAAAGTAATTGTTCATAATGTTTGTGCTCTGTAAAATGTCTAAATATATATTTTATTTGTATAAGGGACTTAACCCAGCCTCACTTAATAGCTGAGACACATTCCAGCCATTTTTCAAAAAATATTTTATTTATACACAAGATCTTGCTGAGTTGCTTAGGGCCTTGCTAAGTTACTGATGGTGGCTTTATACTCAGGATCCTCCTGCCTCAGCCTCCAAGCAGCTGGAATTATACGAATGTGCCGCCATAGCAGGCTGTGAAGGAACATTCTTTTTTCCATTCTGTCAAAGAGCAGTCAGGCTTGATCACTGTGTAACCCAAACTCAACTCTATCTTGAAAAAAAACTGCTAGATTAAGCATCTTCCTCTAGAAGGAGGAGGGAAGAGGCGATCTTACCTTAGGAAGATGCACATCTGTGAGTTGAGGTGGTTTCCTAAAGCACAGACTTTTGAGGAAAATGAGTCTTGTGACCTGTGTGACAGACACACCCTGATGTGAGGTCTGTGGGAGGGACCTTTATAGCAATCTAGACCCCAGTTTCTTCTCCCAAACATGGGAATTCACATTCTGTCTCCCAAGAGCCATTCCCAAATCTCACTGAGCATACTCATTGTCACACAAGTTATTTCTTTGAACTTATTTGAAAAGTTGATCATCTTCTCCTGATACACTTTTGTCTCATTCAGTTTTACAATCAGATAAAAATGTAGTGATTTCAACGATTACATTTTCAAAGACCTGAGCCCAGATATGGTGCAGGAACACTCACTTGAGACAGGCAGTCCTGAGGCAAGCAAAGAATCCTGAGAGTGTGGACGTGGGCACCTGGTGAGGAAGAAGATAGATTCCATCCTGAAGGAAGTCAGAGGTCAAAGGAAAAGGCACCTACACTACCAAAAGCAATATACAAGTTCAAAGTATTCCCTAGCAAAATTCCAATTACATTATTCACAGATTAGAAAAAATAATTCTAAAATTCATTTGAAAGAAGACCCAGAGTAGCCAAAGCTGTTCTAAGCCACAAAACCAATGCTGTAGGCAGGCATCACAACACTTTACTTCAAATTATATTCCAGAGTTATAGTAACAAAAACTGCATGGTACTGGCATAAAACAGACACATAGACCAATGGTACAAGAAAGAAGACATGGACACAGACTGTAGGTGTGTGGACATCTGTAGTCATCTGGTCATGTGGTCATTGGGGAAAAGACAGCCTTTTTAACAAATGATGCTGAGAAAACTGGTTATCCATATGTTGAAGATTGAAACTAGAATCACCCTGCATACAAATCAAGTCAAATGAATAAAGATCTATGAATTAGAGCAGAACCTATGCAAATGCTAGAAGAAAACATAAGATCATCACTCCAGCTATTAGTCACAGGCAATGAGTTTGTTAATAGTACCCCTAAAGCTCAGGAAATAATGTCAAGAGTTAATAAATGGGATGACATAAACTTTTAAATCTTCTGCACAGTAAGGGAAACAATCAGAATGTGAAGAGAAAACCTACAGAATGAGAGAAAGTTTTGCTCACTACTATTCTGAGAGAGGATTAATATCTAGACTACATAAAGAACTCAAAAACCTTTAACACCAAAAAATCAGATAACTCAATGGATAAATGGGCAATCAAACAAACAGATACTTCTCAAAAAAGAAATGGTCAACAAATCTATAAAAAATATTACTAATTAGGGAAATAAAAATCAAAACTACCCTGAAATTTCATCTTATATCGATCAGAATGGCAATCTTCGAGAATACAAATAATAAATGCTGGAGAGGATGTGGAGAAAAAGTACATTTTACTCTGTTAATGGGATGGTAAATAAGTACAACTAGAATAGGAATCAGTACGGTAGTTCCTCAAAAGACTAGGCATGGAACCATCAGAAAATCCCACTATTCCACTCCACAGTATTTATATTAAGGAATTAAATTCACCATATTATAGTGATACATGCATACCCATGTTTACAGCAGCACAATTTACAACAGCCAAACTAAGGAACCAGCCTTGGTGCCAATCAACAGGTGCATGAATGAAGCAAATGTGCTATATATACACAATAGAACTTTATTCTATGTCCATTGTAGAAAAGTCGATGGAAGTAGAAACTGTCCTGTAAAGTGAAATAAACCAAATTTAGAAGGTCAAAGTTATATGTTTTCTCTAAAACAAAGAAGCTAGAGAGGAAATAAGGAAAACAAGTTAGGGTGATGGGCTGAGGGGATGTAATGGAAAGCCAAGGTGGATCAGTAGAGGAAAAGGACAAGAGGTGGGAGGAGAGGAGGAAGGTAGGAAGTGTTGGGGAGTGATAATGACCAAGTTATATTGCTATATTTCTGCATGTGCAAATATATAAGAACAAATCCCATCGTTATGTACAACTATAATGCACCAATAAAACAATGAAAAAAAAAGGAAGAGGTACCTGGGGTAGACTAGAAGGCACTGGGGGCCAGTAAGGAGCCAGAGATTGGGAGATGGGACAGGACTGAGGACAGGAAGCAGAGCAGATTATCCAGTTCCTTTCCTCTTCCTTTCCAGGAGTCTTATACCCTCCATGTGAGTCCATCAGGGGGCAGTGAGAATCTGGAGTGGAAAGAGCAGGTGCTGTAGTTTACCATAAATAGTAATGTGGTTCAAACATGTGCTTCCCCTCATTATCTCTAAAGAAGTAGGGTGCCAATCCTAAACATATTGAACTACAACGCACTATTTTCCAGAAGACCTATCAATAACAACAGGTCTCATTATCAAATCCAGCCTCAATTTTTATCCCAAGGCAGAGGACTCAGCAATATCTGAACATACATCCTAACTGAAAGGGCCAGGAGAAGTTGAGCAGATTGAGGAGGATGTGTAGTTCTCCCAGCCATATCTCTTCCTGAGAAGGGGAGAGAATGGACCTATCCACCATCCTGATACTATGTTCTCAGGATGCTGACACAGCACACAGAAGTCCTGGGAATCTTTATGTGACATTCACAGAACCTCCACTATTGGAAGGTTAGGGACATCCCAAAGGGGCTCTAATTCCTCAGCACTGTCACAAGCTCAGTCTATCCTGATTGAGAAAATGCAATCAAACAATTTTAATCTCCTCAGCTAAGCTTTTTGACCAGTAAGGCAGAGGTATCCAGAATTCAAGGCATCTAAGTGTTGGGGGAGGAGAGGCAGGTGCTAGAAACAGATTTGCATGGAAGCCCCTCCCCCCTCTGAGTCATGGGGGGGGATAAGAGAGGTCTGTGCAGATAGGCCCAGTGTTGGGGCTCAGGAGGCAGACTCTTCGGGCATCGCCACCATGGCCTGGGCTCTGCTTGTCCTTACCCTCCTCACTCAGGGCACAGGTGATTCCCCAGGGAAGGGACACAGGAACATCTGGGATAATGTATCTTCCCCAGGTCTGGCTCACCAACAATGAAAAACAGAGTGTGTTTTTCTATCTTTTCAGGTTCCTGGTCCCAGTCTGCTCTGCCTCAACCTCTATCAGCCTCTGGATCTCTAGGACAGTCAGTCACCATCTCCTGCACTAGAACCAGCAATGACATTGAGATTTATAATAATGTCTCCTGGTATCGAGATCTCCCAGGAGCATCTCCCAAAATCCTGATTTATGGAGCCACTAATCGTCCCTCCAGTGTACCCAATCGCTTCTCTGGCTCCCAGTCTAGCAATTCAGCCTCTCTGACTATTTCTAGCCTTCAGGCTGAGGATGAGGCTGATTATTATTGCTGCTCATATACAAGCAGCAGCAATTTACACAGTGCTCCAAGTTTATGGGGAAGTGGGTGCAAAATGTGTCTTGAGTCACATGTTTCTATTCACTCAGAAGTTTCTTCTTCAGCCCTGCACAGAGACAGCTTCAGGCCACAGGGCCATGAGAATCCAGTTCTCTCTCAGTTCCTCTTTTGTTCAACCATGAAATGTGAAAGGAAACAAATTTCCTGTTCATTGTCTAAGGCCAATAATATATATGATATTGTACCTGAATGTGCAACTCTTTTTAAATTCTTACATTATGGCCAGGACACTATGAAGATCCCCTTTTGGTCCAGTGACAGTAGTTTTGAGGGAAATCCTCAACCTTGGTGCCTCCTATTCCCATTATTTCCAAATTATTGCCTGTACAGGTCTGCTTGGAATTACTCAGTCAACATACCTGGTTTTGCTCTTCATGAGCACATCTGTTGGTGAAGTAACAACCACTGAGAAATTCTGAGGACATTACTGAGGGAATGAGGACAAACTGAAAGATGCTGTCTTCCCTTAAGTCTTACACTTTTGTCATCAAAGTCAAGTGAGGTATACCAGACAGAATTTTAGTTGCAACTGTGTTCTTAGCCAGGATTATCTCTTCCCTCAGACACCTGAACAGTTGTCCAGGATGGCCCTGCAACTCTCAGTAGAATAAGATTTTTTGCCAAAGGAAGGGTCCTTTTGTTTAAGAAGGAAGATATGTTGTGTGTATATACCTTTTCTCCCTCTGTGCTTGCCAACAGTTCATGATTACAATGGTGACCCCAAACCAATTCTACCTAGGATTCCTCTTAAAATGGTTAACTGAGTACACTTATACATAAAAATATAGCCAAGAATTCTTTAAACAAGTGAATAAGCATAGGCTTGGTTCCCAGAAGATGAGACACAGTAATATTCTACCTAGTTTGCAGAACCTAAAGACATCCAGATCTTGTTCCATTACTTAACACTTGTCTGAGACAATGGACAGGTTTACTTCCCTCCAGTAAGTGCTGGAGCAGGAGAAAGTGAAGCAGAAGACAGGTTGGCATTGATTTGGGACACAGGAGAGTGGCACAAACCTTCACTGATATATGTTTCCTACTATGGGACTGGGTTGGAGAAAGTGGCCATTAGAGACCTAGTCTGTGGAGTAGATGCTTGCACATTGTCACTCAGACTAATAAGCAAGGCCACATATACCAAATCCAATAAGTCCTGTTAGACCCTTGCACAGGTGAACAGCTCAGCTCCTCCCTCCTTTCTCTGGTATCCATCACCAGTTATTCCTGATGATCCAAGTGTGGGTTCAGAACATGGAATGGATCAAGATGAACCAAGTCTTCTTTCTTCAAGTATTGGGGCATGCATACAGAACAATGAAATATTTTTAAAAGATAAATTTTAAAGAGTGCACTGGAAATAATGACAAAGAGTGATGAGGATACTTCAAAGGAGAATCTCATTTAGGAAAGATTTTGGGGCACTTTTCTGGCCACTGACACAGGGAAGGAGCTATGCCTTTCATGATAAAGGCATGCACATCGAGACTCAGATATCAGCCTGAGTCATGGACTCAGGAAGGACCCAGGAATCCTTAGAATATAAAAGCACATAAAGGAAATCTTAAAGGCAGGATCAGAGAGAAGAGGGTGTGGGCAGAGCAAGAGGGCTAAGAAGTGGGAACAGAGGCTTCTGCAGATAAAGACAATAGAGGAGGAATCTGGTTAAATGAACACAGAAACAGGCCAATAAGTTTTCTTCTGTAGGTTCCTCATGAGCAACTAATGCTGTTAAGGTCTCTAAAGTTGTCACCCAGTGAATGGAGTGCATCCTGCAGAGTGATAGGTGGATCAGCTGTGAGGTGATCAATGATCTCTGGTCCATCTCACAGGACTTGTTGAATTTGGTGTATGTGGCCTTTGCTTATTAGTCTGTGTGACAATGTGCAAGCTTCTTACATGCAAGACCTTAAAATAGAAGTCCTTTTTGATTAAAATAATAACAAATTACAACTTTCCCCTCTGTGTTTTATATGAGGGGACAGTTTACTTGCTATGACTTGTAGATCAGTACTCTTTTGTTCTTCGATGTCAATCTTCTTTTAATCCCTCTAATAGGTCTCACATCTGCTGCTGTTGCTTTGTGGTTTACTCTATCTCCTGATTCCTTGCTATAACATTGTCTCACTCATATATGTATGAAGATGTGAATTTGGTGTCAACAAACCTTATATATAATCAGAGATATGATAAATTATGATATAATGGTATATTAAGAATTATAATGCAAAAATTAAAAAAAAGAAAACATTGTCTCTCTCCACCTTTATGATTTCCATGTACTTTGACATTATTTCTACTATCATTTTTTAAAGTTTTGTGTAGAGTCTTTGAAATATATTCTCAATTATGATACGCTTGTCTCATTTTACCCATACAACATATCTTCATTGTCCTCACATCAGTTGAGACTTTCCTGGGCCTAGTGGTCTTGCCTTTTTACAGGATATGTATAATTATATGCTATGGTATGATGAGACTATTTAAAATCCTAAATTGATATTTCTGTTTTAGCAGACTATATGACCATTTTGACTAAATCAGCTTTCTCTGGAATGTTGTTTTGACATTGCATTCTTCCCTCCCTGGGATCATATTGTTTCAAGGGTAGCTCAGAATTGAGGCTGCATTGCAGGGGGATTTTTCCCAACTCATTCCTTTCCACAACTTCCAACTGTGCATGGCTCCTCAGGCCTTCCCTTCTGGTCTTCTGGCAATAAAACTGGGAATTCAGGTTCCCTGCATTTCTTTGACAAAGAACAGGGTCATACCAAGTGCTAAGAAGATACAGTAACAAAAGTAGTAGAATTAAGTGACACTGTCTTGGGGAATCAGCTCTTCAAATGAAAAAGGAAAGCCCCATGGTTTCCACTGCCTCTTCTGGGACCACAGAAGAATTTCCCAGTGCAGGATCAAGTAGAATGGAGAAGAGAAAATGTGCACATTCCAAAGTTTGTCAGAGCTTAAGGAATTCCCTTTCTCCTCTTGGAGACACAAGAGTGGGGCTTATTCTGGAGTCTTTCTGTCCACATGTTGGTGTCCTGTTGAGGTCCCAAGAACTTTAAGAGCAGGCCTGGAATTCAACGTAGATGTAGAAAACTCTCTGCTATTTGGGTGTTTTTACTGGGCTGATGGCTCCTTCAGTCTGTTTCTGTGATTTGTTTTCCTAGGTGATCACAAATATATTCCATGAATACTGTGTGGGCTTTATTTTCTGGATTCAGTCTGAAAAGATAGTGTGTGCTTAAAGCACTCTAAATGAAATCTGAAAGCAACAATGATATTTTTATGTAGAAAATTAAATAACTCTGAACCAGAGGCTATGCAAAACACAGATAGAAATCACTTTTAAAAGTACTTTCAGAAAATGAATGGAGAGCTTGTTTGGAGTTTCTAGCAGGGGAGCCCAGCTACTCGTATACCCTTGACTGAAGATCACTCCTCCTCTATTGGAGAAGTTTGTCCTCATCGAGAAAAAAAGAAAAAAAGAGTACAGTATAATGGCATAAATTGGTGTGAACATACTTTATATACAGAGTTATAAAAATTGTTCTGTATATGGGTAATAAGGAGTGTAATGCATTCCACTATTGTCATGTATTTAAAAAATAAATAAAAGAAAGAAAAAAAGAAAAGAGAATGAATAGAGAACAATTAGTCACACATGTGCTGATTTTTAAATTTTTTAATTATTTCTACATGAAAATAGAATACATTTATGCAATTTGATATATCATACATACATAGGATATAACTTTTTATCTATCTCTGTACATGTTATAGAATCATATTGATCATGCAGTCATCTCTCTCTCTCTGTATATATATATATATATAATATTATATATATATATATATATATATATATATATATATATATGAATTAGTGTGAGCTCATGCACACAAACAGTTAAGTTTTGCTGTGCTTAGCAAAACAAGGAGTTCTGTGAGAAAGTATGAACTCGTTGAACTGTGTCCTTGTTGCTGTCTTATGAAGATAGGAGAAAAGAATGTTCTGCCAAGTGTAAAATTTATATATATATATATATATATATATATATATATATATATATATATGTGTGTGTGTGTGTGTGTGTGTGTGTGTGTGTTTGCCTGGGAATAACTAACCACAAGTTAATTGATAAGAAATATGGAGCACTGTGACCATAAACAAAGTTTTCCTGAGAATGTTTATCCATGCTTGTAAGGATTAAGCTGACAAAAGGATGTTTTTTCTTTCCCCTTGTTTTAATTAACAATGCTGTATAAAAGAAGGAGAGAAAAAAGTAAAGATGGTGCTCATTTTCTACTGAATGCGTGTGTGTGCATGTATCTTTCTTAAGCATCTCTGCTGTACCAGGAATTATAGATTGTCAGCAGGTCTGACAGATGGCATCCCTGGGTGGGCAGCAGAGAGTGCCTTACTGGCAAATGTAAGTGAAGGGGAGAGGTACCATGGGATCAAAAATCTCAAAAAGTTAAATACTACAGATAATTATGGCTTTACTTAAGGAACAAAAAATTGTAATTAATAAAAAAACAGCTTCTGCTTTTATGCTTGCTATTAAAACTACATTTCCTTGTTGTTTTTTTAATTTTTTTTAAAGAGAGAGAGAGAGAGAGAGAGAGAGAGAGAGAGAATTTAATATTTATTTTTTTAGTTTTCAGTGGACACAATCTTTGTATGTGGTGCTGAGTATCGAACCCGGGCCGCACGCATGCCAGGCGAGCCAGCTACCGCTTGAGCTACATCCCCAGCCCCATTTCCTTGGTTTTTGTACTCAGGAAATTTAATGGTTCCTAATTAAAAACATACAAAAAAAATTACAAAAATATTTTTTTTTAAAAAAAGAGTCCTGACAGTTTACCTGTAGCTACTTTTTCTTTGTGAAAGTTGATAAAAAAAATACACTTTATCTCCAGATATAAAAGAGCGTAAATTTTTACAACAAACACGGAAAACTTGGATGAAGGTTCAGGAAAGGAAATCAATAATTTCAGTGAGTAAAAGTGATTCCTCAGATGATGTTGCCCCTATTTATGACACTTCTAAATTAAAAACAAAAATCCACCACCTACAAAAGAGGAATTAATCCTGTAAGTAAAGGGAGGGACTGAGGGACTCCCAGCAGCTGCCAAAGCCCTATTTTGCTTCAGGAAACTCCCGCCTTCCTTCCCTGCACTGTAAGGATTATGCTACCTCTGTCTACTTATCTAAATGGGGTTTTAAAACATTACACAGTTTTGCAGTTAAAAGTTGGGTTTAAGTAATTGTTTAGTTTATGATTTCAGATAATTCATGCCAAAAAACTTAAATAATAGGATAAAAAACTAAAAAACTCTACTTCCAAGTTGACAAGTAACTCCCAATCATTCAGTTTTTTTCACCAATTTTTAAATTGGGTAACCTAAAAAAATT